TTTTCAGAAATTAGAGATTATTCTTCGACCACTATTTTGACCCAAAAATCCAAATTTGAAGAAAATTGCCAACCCGAAGGTATACTGTAACCTTAACTGCAGTGCTATTTCTCTTGTTATATACCATGATGGCTAAGCCAATGGAAACTCTTTAATTGCATTAACTAATGATCCAGTTTTAAATACTGCTGTATATGCTTTTAAATAAGACAAGCTTTACGATATTGATCAGGTTGTACTAATTCTATACTTTGAATTGAGGGCATTCACATCGTTTTAACATCCTAGAATCATAAACATTGTAACAAAACACTCGCTAAGACGAAAGAATTACAACCTAGGCGAAATAACCATTTTTAACACTAGATATGGATTCAAACTTGATAATGAAATTTACTTTGTTGACAAACCAATAATAGCTAGTTCCTTAGTGTTTCAGGCGTGCATGGCAAAACGTTTTGCAGGTAAAGATAAGGGTCGTCATCGTAATTCTACATCGTTGCTTCGTTGGTGTCATTACTGTGAAACACTCTAGATCTCTATGTTGTTGTATTTGTTCATCACTTCCTTTACCCACGAAGTGAGTTTAAACATGTTTGCGTAGACGCCATATTTGTGAGGTCGTGCACATTCGTGGCCCCAGGAAACGACCCCTGTGAGATAAAAGCGCCCGCCATACTCGCATGACAGTGGCCCTCCACTGTCGTATTGGCATGCGTCAACGCCTCCTTCTTCGAATCCAGCACACAGAGCCCTGCTGTGAATGGTTCCATTGTAGGACTTGACACTATTACAAATTTGGGACGGTACCAGACGAACTTTCGCCTCGCGCAAGATGTCGGGTTGGGTGCTATTCCATTGGGTGTGGCCCCAACCAGTAACGTAACACTCCTTTCCCCAGGGGAATCTCATCCCAGGATGAATGAGGCAGATTGGAGAAACGTAACCGTCATACACAGCTGGCTCTGATAGACGGACCAGCGCTGTAGATTAAATGACAGAGTTTTTATCTATATTTGTTAAATCCCGGGTTATAATCATGTGATAGGTCTTGTATCTAATTGATAAGCAGAAAAGTTTCGCAGGAATTGTGTAACAGAGTAACAGGCTACAATGTGTCGGTTCAACTGAAGCTTACTGAAAGGATCCAGGGGCTAGATATCCAGGCGACACGACACAACTGGTTCTTGTAGATGATCATGAGATGAATTTCCAGTATTTAGCTACTTTGCTTCAAATCACTTTAACATTTCTGATCATGGTTTGAGGACTCTTACGGCTACCGAGTGTAACTTACCTACGTCATAATCCGGTGGCGTATCGTAGATTCCTTCAAAAAACATAGACTTGTACTTGGGATGAAGATAAATTGCTTCTACTTCTCTGCTCTGCTCGAACACTTCTTTATTCACTAAGTGATGTTCACCCAGGACCACCCTCCAGTCAGCAGGTTTCGTTGAAGTGTAAGCATCTAATGGATAATAAAAGCGGAATAGTCAATGATGCTAAGGTGCAATGGAAACTTAGGCAGTTGTGATTTCATGGCTTTGTAAAATACGTTACAAGTTCTCGTACATCGAGATCCAATTGGAGTGTTGTTGTTGTTGTTTTTTTTTTTGGAGGGAGGGAAACCGGAAAACCCGAGTAAATAACCATGGAGCAAGGACGAGAACCAACAACAAACTCAATCCACTTATGACGCCGAGCCAGGTAACATGGGTTAAAGGCGCTCTCTGGACGTACTGGGCCACTACCTCTACTCCCAAAGAATTCAGTTGTTGTTGTTGTTGTTGTGGGTTTTTTTTTTTTGGAATAATTTTCAGTTAAATATATTTAAACAGCTGTTCACGCTTAGACGAAAATATCAAGCGTGGATTGGCCTTAAACCAGTTTTGTTATGGATTTCATCGTCAGTCAGCACGAGCGAGAGGGCATAGATAGTTACCACGAGAAAATCTCTTGTAGTTACATAATTCTTAAGGTCATGGAAAAGAAACTTCGAAGGGTTGACCCGAATGTCTACGACTCTAGGATATGAAGGCTACAAGAGTATGAGTAGAAATTCCTTCATGGGATAACATATACAGAAAGTAACTATGTTAATCATATTACCATGGAAACAGTGAGTAGCTGAGACCACCCAATGAGGAGAAACGAGTGAACCTCCACAAAAGTGAGTGTCATTGAAAAGCAGAGCGACTTGCCAAGGCCACGCGCCCTGTGCACTCTGGGTTCCTCCGACGATTCGACGAAATAGGTTCCTTGTGTCACCTCGTAACTGCTGATGAAACCTCTCAATCCCACAAGATGGATATCCTATAAACAACATGAAAAAACATTCACAATAAATAACCTCCAAAAGGGGCCAGTGGTTTACACTGCGAAGCAATTGGAATGAAAACATTTATTCAGTTCAGCCATTCCCCGAGTAATTCACAGCGTAAAAATAGATATTCATCCAACCTCCTAATTTGCTATTGAGCAGTGCAGTTTCGTATCTTAAACAAGCGGTTTTTTAAGTATCTGTGTATTATCATAGATTTCTCAACCCTAAGGTTTCATTCTCAGCGAATCCTATACTTAAGTTTCAGTTATAAAGCGCAGCAATCTAGCTTATCAAACCTTAAAATGTTTTCTATCGTTCAATGGTTTAATCAGAAGATTTTGGTAGGTCTGATAGATCATCGAAAGAAAGCTTGTATGAACCTGAATTGTCTGGAGTGAATTTTCTTGTCTATAATGGAAAATGCTGGTGAACGGTTCCTTTTAAAAGCTTGTTGATTATCAACTCAGTCGCCAATCACGAACTCAAAAAACCCTAAAATAGCATTGTTCCTCAAAACGTACTTGAACTGTTACCAAATCAGGAAAGTTTTTTTCCGACTGATTTTGGTCAAGAAACACTATAAACTTACAATGTTGTGTACATATAAGAGGTACGATATAGCTCTACAGTGTGGTCTCGAATAGTCCTTAATCTCTTAGCATTTTTCCTTGGTCCAGAAACGTTAAGGTGAAAATACAGCCTAAAAACATTTCTCAGTTAAACTACCGCGGATAAACGTCGCAGCTTACCATGTAAGTTTTGATTACAGATCTGTTAAATATTTTTTCTCATAAATAACTCACCCTGAGAAATATTACTAAAAAGAAGGCAAAAACACAGAACAAAAAGTTCCTTCATGGTCAGGACGAAATAAAATTCACCCCGACCAAACAACTCCTCCTTCCCTTGGCTGACTTCGAAGAAATTTATTAACGTCTTAGCGATTGAAACTTTAATATATTGAGTAAACAAAAAACGCAACAGCTGCAAGCAGGCGGTTACAAAACATCGACAAACTGCATTTGGTCTCTTATTGCGGTTGGCAATTACCAAGCCAGGAACACTGACTAATCTTCTGATAATTTGCATTCAATTAGGTGCGCAAGCACAAAGGATTCTTTAATTTACAACCCTTATAAATAATCACTTTTGAATGTAATGTGCTACTTTTTCATTAAGCCGGACTGTTTTCGTTTTCTCTCTTCCGCTGAGTTTATTATTTTCCTATTCAGGAAGCGTGACGACTGGCGGTTATCATACCTTTTTCAGAAAACGTAATAGGAATCTTTCCCTAATTTCTTAAACGTCTGGGAAACAGGAGGAACCTTATTCATTTAGTGACTACGGGCGGCTGTCAGATTGATTTATTTGATGTTAATAACTTATACCTCCCACCCATTCAAAATATATATATACCTGCAATAAGCGCGACCATCAATTAAAATCACTAGGCTTCTTAATTATTTCAAGCCTGCCTTTTTCTCTGAGCCTCCGGTCTAGCCAAGCGGAGAGTATGCAATCAAAAAGTAATGGATGAGGTTTCGATGTAATAGCTTCAACCTTTGTTTCACTTGTGCACAATAGCTTTCGCTTATATTTGAAATATCTTGTCTGATATTTATTCACTTAATGCAAAATAAGGCAAGGGGTCAAAAGGACTGAATGGAAACTGACTGGAATCGTATCTTGTTCTAACCTTTTTGAAAGCCCGAAAAAATTTTTGGACTGAACGTGCTAAAGGCTGAGTATTTTCTCGAATTGTCTCCCTTTGACAATAATCGAATGGGCTCCAGCAACGAATAGGCATCCGTTAATATTTCAGTGTATCTTTACTTCCTTTCTTAATAAATCTATTCATGAAGCCGTGTAATTAATTTGCGAATGGAAGAAATAAATAATTAATACAGCCACAGAAAACACTGATCAATTTGTGAAGTCAGTTCAAAGATTCATGTTGAAAACAGAAATATATTACAGTTTTTTGTGTTCAGTATTCCGCATGCATTTTAAATAAAATTGTACCAATGTACAGCTTTACACGTTTTACTGTTGCCAACAAACAGGGTGTTGGCAGTGTGGAATTTATCCTGTGGCATATTATAAAGGGAACGAACTATTTATCCATTTTCTGTAACTTTTACTTACATCACACCTTTCAATTAAAATAGAGGAAAGTTAGAACAACGTACTAATACGTTTAGCACCACAGGTATCATCCCCCTCGACGCTACATAAAAATACATGCAATTAAAGATTTACTTCTTGCGCGCAGTTTTTCAAAGAATTTCATTACGATTGACCTCAGGAGTCGATTTTTCCTAGATTCTCTTCAGCCTGCGTAGTTTCGAAATACAGTTTATCGTTTCTTACTATACAAAGTATAAGCGACAGAGTGTTGATTAACATATCAGCTTACATAACTACTCAGTTTAAAGAGTAGATAATTTTCATCCAGTTTCAGGAGTTGAATTAGACATTTTCTCAATAGACTACGATATTTCAAATAACTTTTCCTAGTCCTAAAAACTGGATCATTGGATAATGTCATTCAAGAGTTTTCATTGGCTTAGCTATCATGGTATATGACCAATTATACCATGCTCTGCAAATATGGTAAGCGTACGCGCAATTTTTTGGGTCATTTTTATTTTTAGTTTAGTTTAGGCCAATATCCATGGTCAATTAAGGATTCCTTACATGGAAAAAGAAAACTATCTTCTTCCGGTCATAGTGGGAAATCCCGAGCGGGCAAGATCACGACATCTTGCCCGTTCGGGTAGCCAATCACAGCCCAGGATATTCTTCATCTCGCCCGCTCACGGAGCTAACCGTGTAACATCATTTTTCGAAGAGGTTTGCTTGTTTGTTTTACTGCCTAAGTACCTAACCCGATCTATAAATTGATTGACAATAGATGAAGACTTCGGCTGTATACGAGTATACAAACGAACAATGGCGCGTGTGGTTCCTTATTTTCGTCCTGTTTTTTTTTTTTTTTTTTTTCAAAGCAAAAAGAATCAGCAATATCTTTCTGTATCATCGTCACGATCGCTACGGAAAAAGTTGAGCGATCCATCCTCACGACTTCCGGTTTGCGTGTGAGTTACGATCCCTGAACTTTTTCGCAGCGATCGTAGAGAATGTAAAGAAACAAACCCTTAAACGCGGCTCCTTCTCCTTACCCCAACCAGGAAATCAGAAAATTTAAGGCTTGTGCTCTAAAGTTCTTCAACNTTTTTTTTTTTTTTTTGCAGTTCTTGATCTTCACCTCTGAAAATTATACTAAAAAAATTATTCTCCTCAGGCTCAGTGAACATTGGTAAATGTTTGCCTCGACTTCGTCTCGGTAAATATTCACCAATGTCCATCTCGCCTTCGGCGAATAATTGTTAATTAGAATAACACACTGTACTGAAAGGTATGGTTTTGGGTCTTTTGGTCTGAAACTGGGAATGGAGTTTGACCTTTTCAACTGCTTACGCAGATGGAAGAAGCATTTAAGGGTCTGAAAAAGAGTCTCGAGAACAACAAATACGTTGGTCCGAGAAGGGGCACCAAGTGACAGCCGGAAACACGTCTGTGTTCGCAGGCTACTCCACCACTAACTTCGGGGACACCGCTCTGCTGTCTACTCTAAACAGTTTGGGCACGACCGCAGTGTGAGAACATTGGCATAATTCCTTTTTTCACTAATTTGTATGTCAAGACTTCGGGCCAATGTCTACCCACTTCAGCCCTCACGCTTATGTGTTGTTAATGAGATATATGATGCCCCGAGTAAGATGGTAAGTTACCACCCTCTGTGACTCGTGTAAAAGTTTGAAAAATCGCGTTCGATAAGTATTTTTTAAATGCAATATTTACGGCCGTAACTTCCATCGTCAATTTAATTCTGATTCGTTAGACAAAACAAAAAATAAGCCCAGAAAAATGCACATGTACTGAGGAATTTAAACTAGCTATGGTGAACGCCACCGTTACAATTCCCGCGCAAATTTTCGACTTTCATTTTCTAAACCTTTTACATACAAGGAAAACCAAGAAATAAAATCGGTCCTAAAGTAGTTACTGATAAGAAAGAAAACAATGGATGTTAAGGTTCGTAGGCAGGTCAACACCAGAATAACGGACCCAGGGACACATACATAATATTCTACTTATTAAGCTACGTACTAGAGCGATGTGTTTGAGCTTGATGCACAGTGATGTGTTACCACAAATAGTGGCGTACCTGAACCCAAAGTTCCAGTGATAAGACCCAGAAGTATAGATATGACAAACGATTTCATGACTGATGATAAACTGCCAGATGGTTCTCGATTTTTCAAATGGGCGCTAAGATCACTAAGTGACTGCTTTTAACCGCCTTCTTTTGCATCATTGTTTACATTACTCCGTGATGCTAATTTTCTCCTCTGTAAACGTAAAGAATTAAAAAGGTAAATTGGAAAATGGAGCTTTTGTACTTGTACATCATTTTGAACAACACCATCATTGATTTGAATAACATGAATTCACGACATTTTGCTGCTAACAGCTGAAAAAAAATTCAGTAACACCCCAAATCAGTAGTAAAACCCCCTGCATTTTTTAACCTGAAACACTGCCTTGTCACAAAAAAAATCAAACTTACAAACAAACAAAATGTCCGAGGGCGAGGCAAACTGATAGCACCGAAACAAAGTCCAATCTATGCGCGAATAATGGCGTTTGCTATTGTAATTTTGAATATTACTATTGAGATATTTTATCACATACTTTTTGGAAACAACAAAACATTGCACCAATTAGTATAATTAAAACCGATTTCTTTAACAGTACGCGCATAGATTTTCCAAAATACGCATTTAACGATTCCTTAACTGGGACTGATAATCGATTTTTGTCCTACGAACAGGTTTTGAACACTCTGCTCTTCAGCTAGTAAGAGTTCGTTAATTTGTAAGCGACGTGTCAGTGCAGAAACAAAAAGAATAATTCACATTAATATGATCTAGTATTGAACCATTGTCACTTGGCTCTCTAAGACTCTCAAAACACTGGCCAGTTTGGTTCGTTGGTGTTTTGGATCGCGCCAACCGAAATTAATTGTAACAGCACTGGGAAATTTTCTCCAAGCAAAATTCACAAGAACGCAATCAGTCTACGTAGAAACACCCCCACAACTGAAATACAAAGGTGAAACCAATAAGCTTGATTTACTTTCTCTTCTCGGTTGACAAACCATTCTTCGCTCATCGGTTGACAGGTTGACAGTCTTAATTCCGAACAGTTTCGTCGTGACAGATTCACTATACATATTTACACACTCTAAACATTCATTTATCGAACCCTGTGAGCCTGAAATAACCGGCCCCTTGATGGTGAGCTGTCAGAAAGAGGTCAGTCAATAGCTGATCGTGCCCCGCCATGATGAGTACTGGTAATCAAACTAAGAATAACATTTGATTTTTCTCGTATCCAATACAAAAACCCCAATATATACCCTCGTGCCTCATGATGGTCACCGATAAAGCAAAATAGGTCTCCTCTCCTTGTTTTCATCGAGTTCTTAGAACATGCCGACAGAAAGAATGGAAAGTGTGACTGCTTGAACAAATCTACTGTAAGTTGCTGATTCTCTCGGTACCTGCATAAAGACCCTGTTACAGCTTAATTTACTTGTAACTTCTTGTAAAAGTACTGTTTAGAGGGTTTTCTATGTTTTATTTTTCGGCTTTTCTGTCATTGAGTACCCGGAGTAGCTAGGCAAAAGAACTCGGAAAAACGACTGCCGTGAGTCACTAGACGAGCGTACAATATAATGACTTTCACGGCTTTGAACTGTTGAAGTAAGCATAAGCCGAGTTGAATTTTGCATCTGCGCCGAACCAAAATAGTTTCTATCACGTGATGTGCAAGGGACTGAGTACAAAATACCTCATGCAGAGTGTTCCATATATAATAAGCCTTTTTCAAAGAGTTGCTAGAAGGAGAGAATTGAAACCGAAGTGCATGGGAGACTTTGTAACGAGTGCATATATTGGATTATGTATTACGCCGATATTCCAATAGTGATACAGAAAAAAAAAACAATTGTAAACTCAATCTATATGGACTCTGAGTTCCTGCAACATTAACAGGTATGGGACGACGGTCTAAAACTGTAGGATTGTGACTTCCGATAAGGATATATTTTGGTGTGATCCGGAGAATTCCGGGGAGGTTCCGGTCACTGGGATCATAGAAGAAAGCTCCATTAAATGTCACAAACCAGAGTGAGTCAGGTTCATGTAAAGTAAAAGACAGCTGGCTTTATGATGTCCTGATGTTGTTGTCAGGGCGTTGTTAAAATGAAACTATCGACATCTGTTTGTCCGGATGAGATCCCTCGATTTTTTAATTTGGCGGAACCGCGAACATCCTACCGCCGAAAATTCCGCAAACGTACGTTCCGAGTAATCCTCGAGTAATCTTAAATTACTTTTTTTAAATAATATTTCTATTCGTAACAATTTTGAAGATGTATCGTTTAAATTTGTAAGACAACAAGGTATCTTGTACAAAACAGAGAATTGTCGAAAGTGTTTTTGATTGAGTGTTTTGAACCGGACGATAAGTAAGAGGAAGCTCTGCTCGAAAGATAGCCGTTTGGTTTTTCTTCCAAATTGTTCTGGTGCATCGTCCAATTGGAATGGAAGATAATAAGAAGTTTTAATTCAGTAATACAGTAAAATTCGTCTTGGCAAAAATATTGTCTTAGTCAATGTTAAATAATGCTCTTCAAGTCGAGAGGAAAAAATAATACTAGGACCTAAAAATTTACCTCCCTTTGAAGTGAAGAGATTGTGAAAACGTTCCGCAGTAGAGGACTTGTAAAGCATTAAGACCAGAGGCAGTATCGACCATGACTTACTCCTGGAATAAAACATAGTGTACCTTAGACAGCATCGACTGAATTGCTATGTCGGACTAAAAGACTCTTCAGTAATAAATACCGCTCACTGACTCGGCGGCAGCTGGCTTTGGATTCAGGTCACACCTTCTTTGTGACGTTGTTGCGGGAGTGCGTATGATCCTTTCAGTCCATTAAGTTATAAGATTTATCCGGCTAACACTGATTATCTTGTTTGTCTCTTATATTATCGAATCACTGCAAAAAAAAAAAACGAATTCTGCTTACCAAACCATTAAGAACAGTTTGACTATCAAAAGTTTGAAATCAGGTGCGCCGGTTGAAATGAGAAGTCAGTTCTAGATTAAGAGCATTTTGCACTAACAATTATTCTAATAAAAGATGAGATACGATAATAAGATAAGAATGGGACAATATAGGATAAAAGAAGGAACTCAGTTTATAACCAGCTGCAAGGTATTGTCAAATAAACTTCGAAACCACCGGCTTGGGTTAAGGGAGTGATGGAAATAAAGCTGTCAAGAGTTACATGAACGTTAAAAAACAGAGAATTTGTCTGTCAGTGTAACCTCTTACTGACGAAAATAAAGTATTCAGTCAGGATAAGCTATACCTAGCATCTGACACGTTTCAGATCGTTCATTAACTTCAATTCTGTTTATGTTATAGCTAGCTGTAATACTTATTGGAAATTTCTAGGCCACATGTCGTTTGTAAGCGTAGAAAACACTCTTCGTTGTTTTGACGCTACTACGACCTCATCAGGAGATCCGTTCCGGTTTGGCATTTTACCAGTGGTATTATAATGACAAATATGTCTACTAGCTGCATTTATAAAAAAAGAAATGATGAAAGCGAGTTGGAATATCATTTTGTTTTCGCTATTGGAGCTATGGCAAACTTGCAGCAAGAAAGGCAGATTCCACGGAAAAAATGGCAGCGAGAAGCGCTTTTTGTATCAATGTTTGTTTCACTTTCACCTGAAAAGGAACTGCATTGTTGTCAATAGTAATTTCGGGATTTTTTAAGATAAAAGTTCTTTTTTTATTTACTTATTTAATGTCTTGGGCGGAGACTGTTTTGCAAGAGATATAAATATTTTATTGAGGTCGGAGGATATTCTTCTGACAGAGATATAATTATCTGACCTGGTTTCGTGTCGGCACAAATAATTCGTACCAATGTGCAAGAAATCCTAGCTCGACACTGACATCAATAGTAATAACCATGCAAGATCACAGCAACAAAAAGATATGGTAATTCGTTTTGCAAGCTTGGATTATTTCAACGACAGTAACAGCGAAGACGAATACCACCCACGAACCCTGGATATCGAACCTATTACAATGAAGAGACTGAACTCTGGAGTGCACTGGAAAATTTCTTCAGTAATCAGAAACATTATTTTTGAGTAATTTCCCTGGTGTGTATAACCGACAGGTTTTGGAGAGTACTAGGTGAGCAACTTTTTTGCCCGACAAAGTATCTTGGTGGACTTCTACTGAGAATGCTCGACCGCTAAAAAAGAAAACGTCGACATGATGGAGAATTTCAATAATGATAGGACATTCGACTGTTGGCTCAACGAGCCCTTAATTGATCAGACATGGTAAACTGATGAAGTTCTAAATTGTGAGCTATGCCCGTTATGGCGAACAGAAATTGTGCAACTCAACTCGACTTCTTTATTATGCACTATTTACATACTCGTATCTGTTATCGTACTCGATTTAATACAGGGTGCTGTTTGTCTTGCGATATCTTAGACAAGGCAAAGATTTATTATTATTATTATTATTATTATTATTATTATTATTATTATTACTATTATGCATTGTTACACACACTGGTTACAATACTTATACAGCTACGCTACTTACAAGACTAATAGATATACTTACATTATTTATAATACTTCGTATTCAATGTAATTTACAATGCAGGCATACATTACTTACAATAAAATACCATCACTCACGCTACTAGAAATACAAATGCTTACACTACTTACAATACAATACGATATCTCAAGTTGTTTAACAATACTAATTAGCACTAGTTATACTACGATTACTAACGTCACTTGGAATAAAATTCAATTACTAATGCTACTTACAACTTTTAGACCTCGACAAAAAGCATATTTCCATTATTGCATTATACAGGCCAAGCTATATTGAGGGGGGAAATTGCAAAATCAAGTCAGTGAGCAATGCTCGATTTTCCATTGCATTTGGAGTTTGGTTTGAAGTTCAGAAATATTGGGGTTCTTAGAAAAAATCTTACAGGAATACACATNCAATTTCTAATGCTACTTAAAACTTTTAAACCTTGACAAAAAGCATATTTCCATTATTGCATTATACAGGTCAAGCTGTATTGAGGGGGAGAATTGCAAAATCAAGTCATTGAGCAATGCTCGATTTTCCATTGCATTTGGAGTTTGGTTTGAAGTTCAGAAATATTGGGGTTCTTAGAAAAAATCTTACAGGAATACACATAGTGTTTCATTAGAAGCAAGAGAAGATCCAGTCTGCGCTTTTGGATGGAGGTCAACGAAGCTATTTCATCAGTCAAGTTGAATAAAATCTGTTCAGCAGAAGGACTCACATTTAATTTGTGTATATCTTTAAACCACTTTATGGTACTTGAAAATGCTGAAATAGAGACATCACTCTCTAGAAATATATGCATTATAGAATCTCTCCTAGAATAGAAATGTCCAAACATTTTAGAATTTTTAGGAAGACTTCTGAGGAATGTCCGAAAATCCCTTGACTTAGTTTCAAGGGGTTTTCACTCATTAAGCAAAACCTCAGCAAACGTGATATCATTGGAATCTTTACATGGAAAGGATTCAGTCTCTATCACGCTCAATGTACATGTAACCGATACGATGCAATTGTTCTCATGGAACAAGACTCTTATGATGCGCTTANGTACTTGAAAATACTGAAATAGAGACATCACACTCTAGAAATGTATGCATTATAGAATCTCTCCTAGAACAGAAATTGCAATGGTCGTCGGTTGCAATATTCAATTTCTTAAGTTCCTTTTTGGTAATGATTATCCTGTGTAATATTTTAAATAGAAATCGCCTAAGCTTGTTATCTTTAGTAATCTGATATATCTTGGTAAAATTGCTTCTCAAGTCAAGAAAACTGTTTGGACAATTTTCTTTCCATTTTTTTATTCCGCTAGGTTCCGACACAGAACACTCGTTAAATAGTTTGTAATGGTGTTTACAGCGCATTTTAGACAAGGGTAGAGTACTATCTCCGGATAAGTAGAGCAGATCAGGAATTGAAAAAAGGCATTCACCGCATGGAGATTGGGGTTTGCTGCCCAGTTCGCTTCAGCGAACTTGGTATAGCAGCAATAATTTGAAAGTATTGCGGGTAATTGACTTTCAAACCAAATTTTTCATTGAATTCGTCAAGAGATAAGAATTTTCAGTCTTTACTTAAGAGGTCTTGAACAAAATTAATTCCACTCTCGAACCAAGTTTTCCAAAACAGTGTTTTTTAATTAATTGTTATGTCCTTGTTGTTCCATAATATATATTTCCCTCTTGGTTCTCCTCCGTATGCACTGCTCAATTCTTGAAAATATCCTAGTAGTTCGTGATAAAACAGGGGGAAATTCGCTTGGAATAGATGGACATGGTAATAATAAATAAATAAAGAAATAAATATTTATATAGCGCCTATCCATGCCTGCTCTAGGCGCTGTCAGGAGCCATAATCGGGGACGGAGACCGTAAGCGCGCGCCATTTCAAGTATTGGGGTTGTCCCTATGATATGGGACAATAATTCTATTTTTAGAACAAATTGCGCCATCGCCTGCGGCACACGCGCGTACATGCTGCGAGGATTT